TACCAAATCCCCAAAACACAACATAATTAACTTCATTCAATTTTTCCTATTTTGGAAATAAATTAATAAAACAATTAAATTATTCAGAATATATGATTTAAATAATGATATGCACTGGCCAAAACTGTCAGCATTATCATTTAATTACTGATATTCTAGTGAAAGGCACTAATTTACTTGATCACTTATGACGTAAAACCAAATAATGCGTGAATATTTTGAAAGTACAGTATTTAAAAAATCTTAATATTAATTCCCATCCACTTTCAATGTTTCTTTGAAATGTAATTATTGCCTCTTAAAGTAGACCACTTTAAATTGTTTTGTTAGATTGCTCTACTAAGAATTACTTTTTTCACTATTTGAGAGAAAAAAAATGGATTTTTGTTGCAAAGGTCAAAAGAAAAAAAATGACAATTTGTTGAAACCACAGTGAAAACAATTACAGACAACAATTAAACAATTAAAATACGGAAAGAATCAACTTTGGTATTAACCAACAGACATCAGCCATTGATCGCTTAGTTTTGGCAAATGAATTCCAGTTTCTTTCTCATCTGTTAAATTTGTTGCTGCCGTTATAAACAGTGTTATAGAAGCTTCATGTTCTGGTATTGGAATATGAGGAAGTTTGCTATAGTAGTTGTTAAATGCATGATTCTTTACAGTTAATGCAGGTTATAAAAAATTAACACAATTAACTGAAAAGTTGTTTTGCCATCTAGTGAGAGAAAATAAAATAAAATTTACATGTGTGACATGTTAAACAAAAAGTGATGACATTAAGGAATGTGCTGATTGGTTTAACCGAACAATATCACGCATGACATTGCTCTCAATACTGTACTCGCCAACTAATGAAATCCTGCTTAGTTTTTGACTCTATTCAATGTTTCTGTTGGTGGATTTGCTGATTCATAATTTTCTTAAGATACTTCATGTGTTGTGGTGTTTTCCATGTTATTTTTCCCAAGAACAAATGTTTGCTCTCAGAATTTTCTTTTATGAAGTTACTAACAGAGCTGCTCAGCATGCCTAAGTGAAAAATAAGGACAAACATTAAAATTTAAAATTGTATTGAAATTTTGATTATTTATCCTGGATAGTGTTGGGTATATTTGATAGTGTATATGTATTATACTGATGTTTTGTCTTCTGAATGCAATAAGTGTAAACGATTAGTTTTGAATAATTTTATATAGAAAATTTATTAATATATATCTATATAATTCAATATAATCAATACTTTACATGTACAACTACATGAATATTAACATATTCAGGTGGTTACACACATGCAAATATCAAACAGCTGTATGACATACAACTGCTACCAGTCTGAAAAATGTTTATTGTCTATTAATTGCTTTAATTAAGTATAATAATAATCTTTAAAATTTAATTCAAACTTTTGTATGTGAATCTTTACAAAAAAGTTATTAAAAAAAATCTTTGTGCAAGTCAATTATTAAATGAGAGTTTTGTGATGCAAAAAATTTGATAGAACAGCAGATTTTTTAAAATTTTCTTCCCTGCACTTTCTAAATCTATTTTTTCATGTGCATGGGACCTATCATACTTTGTCTACCTGTATACACATGTATACTTCTAGTATTGTGTTGCACTTCCCGAAAATAACAAAAACACAAAAATTATGGAGATTAAAAATAAATTGTTTGCATATTTACAGTTTATAAAGATTAAGGTTTTAATATGCCTAAAAAATATTTGAATCAACTGAAAATTGATTAAAATCTTGTTCCCTAGAATGATATCCTTAGCCACCTTTGCCATTTTTCTGAATTTTCAAGTAAAATTTAAATCCATTATTGTGAAAAATCTTTAAATAATTTGGAAGAATTTGAAATTTAAAAGTGATCATTAAGGAATGTTAAGTAATTTGGATAACTTAGCTGCTGAAATGCTAATACAGTAGAGCATCGATTATCCGACCCCCAATTAACCGTCACATCGGTTAACCGACCGTTCTAGTCGGCAAATTTCAAATGTCCACTAGTGATGTGGCACTACAATATTTGGCTATGTCTTGTTTTTGTTAAATTTTTGCGTGTTTCAGCTGACAACACTGGCTCGACCATGAGAGGCCAGTATTTAAACGAGATTTAATTTTCTAATGATGAGTGGTTGTTTGTTTTCTGAGCAATAAAATAATTTAAAAATAATTTTTAACGATACAATAGCTATGATTATTATTTTAAAAAAATTTGTTAGGCTTAACATCAATGAAAATTCAACATGAAGTATGTTAATAGCGATATACTAATATACTAATTACATGGTATATACTAATATGCTATACTAATAATGTATTTTTTCATTCTTTTCGATTATCCGATTTTTTCAGTTATCCGACCAACCCAAGTCCCCAATTGAGTCGGATAATCGATGCTCTACTGTAATTGTATTTTGTGATAAAAATTCAGTAACTTTCACTTAGTTAACATGATTATTCATAATTTTTTAATGTTTTCTGGTAGATAAGTCTATGATAAATCTGAAAAATAAAATTTTACTTAAATTTATTAATTTAAATTAACTCGGTCAAATATATGCCAAGTTTATATTTGATTGCTTATTCCATTTTAAAAAAATAATAGAAAAATTGCTATTTATGATGAATAAGTTAAATTTTGTATAGTGTTTGTTTAATATAAAGAATAATTTTTGACTATTTAAACAATTAATTTAATAGAACTTATGGTTAAAATGTGGACATTTTGAAACAGTAGATTTAAAATATTAGAAAAAAAAAATTCAATATATTGCCGTTTAAAAAATAAATGCAATTTTACAATTGCTATCAGTTGATTGTATTTATTTTTGAAAAAGATCAGCATCTTTCTACAGGGTTTGAATTTGGTTGTTAGTATTTTATTTTTGTGAACACAATTTATAAATGAAAACTAAGAAGAAAAAGTTTCCATTTGTTCAAAATGTCTGTTCCTAATGCTAGTTTGTCATCAGAAATCAATATATCGAATAAAATTGGTGAACCGATATGCAATACATAAATCTACTTGTTTTGTTTTCAGAATGGCAAGTTTATTTTTTCTCACCATTTTTATCTAATAAAATTGTTTTATCTTATGCAAGATTAATATCAAATATAGAAGTTTTTTGCAATTAATCTTCCATTATTAAGCTTGTATAAAAAAAGATATACATAAAAATTGTCTCTTATATACTTATCATTTAAATGTAGGAGGAAAAAAAGCTTAGAAAATTTTAACTTCAAGTATGGTACATTGCATTTTAATGACAAATTTAACGGTGAAAGTTGTAGCCATAAAGTGGAAATAATTTATATACTGATTCATGTTGTTTGTGTCATTTAGATGAAATTAGACTGTGATGTTTTAAAATGCCAATCTAGCTTTCTTTAATGAGACTCGTAGATAAATTCAGAGGTGTGTTTACATAATTTTTTTCCATTTTTTATTCATTTGTGGCATCAAATTAAGTAAAATAGTCAATTGAATTAAATATTAACTTTTAAATTTTGTTTATATTAATTAAACAGAATATTATTTTATTAAATGTTTAAATTAAATGCAAAGTAATATGACAGGTGACAAATGAAAAACTGCATCTTGTTAATAATTATTTAATAAAGCATACAAAAAATCTGTTTATTAATGCCTTAACTCCAAATTTTTTAATCAAAAAGTAATAATTTAATGCTGTAGGTAAATTTTTAATAAATCATTTAGATATTGAACTGAACAGTGAAGTTGCTATAGTAACGAGGATTTCTATATCAACAAAAAACAAATTTAACGCCATCGCGTCATAGCTTCAAATACAATAGCTTATCTTAATCATTTCTTGATTGATTGGGGGAAATTCAGTATATATTTTTTTAGATTACTTAGACATTAACTATTTTTTCTATGAAATAGAATTTTGAGTTTATTATAAAATTGTGTTAAATAGAATTATCAATATGTTACTTTTTAGAGGTAATGGTGAAAAACAGCATTACATTTGATGGAAAGACTAGAAATTGATAAGTTTGTAAAGTTGTATGACTAATCTATAAGATTATTCCTAAATGTATAACAAATATTAATTTATGCAAAAATATTATATGGAAAAATTGAAGATTTCTTAAGTTTTAAGAGCTTAGTAGACACTAAAAGCTATGATCGAACATATAGTATTTTAATATAGTGAACCGCATTAACTATTCTATCAAAAATTATTTTCTTTAATTAAAATTTTAATTAAAGAAAATAATTAAGGATTTATTAAGTAAATAATTAAAATAATTTGCAAGTTTTGTTAATATTTCTGATATTTTTTTATGAATTCTTTTTGTAATTTTTCATTTTAGTTTATTTAGTATATTATATTCATTATTATCTAAAAGTTTTACAGAAGTTGGAAAAACCTACAAATTTATATAATAAATACAACCAACCCGATAGTCATTTCAAATGCCAAATGAAGAGCCAGATTCTTTATTGGTATATAAGGCTAAATAATTACTAAACAATTTGACAGGAGGCCTTATAAAGAATTTGGCTTTGTTTTGGCATTTGAAACTACAAATTTTAATTTTTATTTTTTGTTTAGTTTTTAAAGTAGTAATTGAAATAAACTACTAAATGTATGTAAATTTTGAAGTGTAAATCTGACATACTGATTAGGGACAGATATTTTATTTACGGATCTTCCAAATATATTTGATTAGCTATGTCTTATGAGCACCATTTAAAAACATTTCCAGTATAGTTTCTCTTTCCTTCTGGAGTTCTATAAAAGATTAACATTAATTATAAGCTGCATATATATTGATTCACATTAAATATTCAAATGTTAAGATGTACATAACATGCATTGTTGTATTCTAGTATGAAATTAATAATTGTAAATTGTTTGATAATCATTACACTTTGTTTATGGCCTATTGTATTGTTAAGCATAAAACAATTTGTTTTTGATTTATACTAAATTATATAATTTAATTGTTGTTTCAGATTAACCTATGGAAGAAAAACCGCCGCCTTATTCTCCGCGAGAAGGTAAGTGAAGTTTTTTTTTTGTTTTAAACAGTTACATTACATTAGGACAAATGTTTTTTAAATTATACAAATATAAATTGTACTGGATAGATAAGATCTTAGTTGTTTAAGTTGTATTCATCCAATTTATTGCTTATGTTAAATTTAAATATAATTACTAATAAATATAACACAAACTGAATCTGTCTTATGAAAACTGTTAGAAAACTTATTCTTTCAGGGAAGGGGAAAAATTTAAATATTTATCATAAGAAATGGTTGCAACAGTCCACTTCCTTGTCACATATAAGATTCATAATGTGAAAAAAATTAATACAGTAAAATCTTTAAATCTGAAATTTGAGAGGATCAAAAATGGCCAGTTTTTATAAAATCAAACAGATTATTAGAAACACTAAGTTGTTTTTATCATAAGTATAATAATGAAACACTCCAAATTAACTGCCTGTCATCTGATGTCAAGGCACCAGACTACTACTATGGGAGATTCAGGATTAAATCTGGGATTAAATGAGGGATGGCTCTTTCTTGTTGCCTGCTGCTTCATTTTCGGCCTGGACCTGGCTGAAACCATAACGGGTATGATTAAAAGGCCATTTACTGCCCACAAGACAAAAATGCCTTTTCTTTTTAATTTCATTTAATAAATTCTTTAAATATTAACAAAATTCTACTTTACTGGAGCTCACTTAAATTGAATGACTAGTACTTTTACTTTTGGACAACCAAGTCAATTATTAGGAGAAAAACATGTGAATCACTAATTTAATTAAACAAATATAACAATTAGTGCAACAATAAATCTATACATATAAATATTAAATATTAGTTTGTAACAATAAAATCCAAATTCCTTAAAAATTAGTTTACTGTTTCAGTAGTCAAAACTTTTATAAATTTTTGATGAAATACAAAATATTTAAGTAAATTATATGAGAGATTTCAAGTATAAATTTAAAAAATGTTATGCCTTAAATTTTAGTTGTATGTAATGGAGAGGAAAGTGGATGTATATTTGAATGTTTTGTAAACAAAATTATTCAGTATTGAATGTTTTGTAAACAAAATTATTCAGTATTAAAACTTTCTGTTTATTGGAAATGACCTTCTTAGTCCTTGCTAATAAATTAAATATTTTATTTTAAAGAATCTTTTTAATAGCAAATGATATCAATTAAAAATTCATTGTATAATGTTTAAAATTTAAATAAATGATTTAATTTATTAACTATTCAAGAACTTTATTTTATAAATTATGTATAAATTGCATTCATTAATCTATAACTAGATAGAGAACTTTATTTAAGAAAATTTTTTTCTTTTATGATATCTAATATTTGGTTCTTAGTTATAAAAAATATGATATATGAAAATTAAGTATGTAAATATTTATTGCATAAATTAAATTTTAATAGGTTATCAGACTGGAGCTCCGGGTTTTACGGTCACGTCTTCCGCTCCACCTCCACCACCACCGCCACCACAGCAACAACCTCCCGGTTATCATACAGTAATTGAATCTGCTTTGCCCAATTATGGCAGCACAGTCTACGTTCATCAGCAAACTATTCCGCCCACGCAAGTCATATTTGTTGGTGGATGTCCCGCTTGCAGAGTAAGAGAATATTTTTAAATTCATAAACTATGACCTTTTGTCAACAGTATAGTATTGTCAACAGTCAATATAATGTAAAATATATACAATGAAAGGATAATTTACAGATTACATTCTTGGATTGCATGCATAAACAATACATGTAAGTTAAGACAAATTATTTCACAGATATACCTAAATAGTTGGAAAGATGCTTAATAGTTTTAAATGTATATTTTGAATAGGAAAAATGCATACTATATATCTTAGACTATAATATTGTGAAAACAATTTCTTCAGCCATATTTCTCATCTATACTTTCACTAACATACCTTTGTAACATATTTAAGGAACACACAATCTATGTAATCTTTGACCCATAAGGATTTTGTGTCAGAATGTAATGAGCTAAAACAATTTTAAAAAAATACATAATTCATCAGTGATGGCCAAAGCACAGATTGCAAGCCAAATGTGGTGCTCTCAAATGTTAGTGTATGGCATATGTAATATATCTTATCAGAAATTTTGAATGAAAATATTAGATGATACCTCAATATTTTTATCCTTTTTGGAAGGATACAATGATTTTAATGTAATTTATCCCTTATAGTACTGTCCATACAAGAAATAAACTTATTTTGACTAACAATAATCAAGATGTTGCATTGTCACAGTACCATTAACATTAACATAATAATTTTGCTTTCTTTCATATAGAATTTTAGCAGTCTTTTATTAATCAAAAAAGTACATTTTGGCTGTCATTAGCAGAAAACAAAAAATGCAACGAAATTAGTATGTACTTCTTCCAAATTTAAATTTTTAAATAATTTATAGTCTGTTAGAAGTGTTTCTAATATACTATGTTCAATTTTCAAGAAGTCAAAACCTCCCAAAAAAGCTTGTGAATGTAATTTATACCCTATATCAAAAATTCACTTACAAAAAGTTAATGCATTCAAGCAGTAATAAATGCATTTTTAAAAACATTTACTTTTATGTTAATGCTTTACAATGCTCACATTTTTGTGACTCCATTATCAAGTACAGAGGATCTGTGGACCTGTATAAAATTACAGTATTATAAATGTTTTTTTAACAGCAAGATTTTATACCTATGCACGAGCATGAAATATACCAGATAAATAGTATTATGCTGAAATATTCATTTGCACAGTCTTTGGCATAGTGGATAACTCTCCACTTAAACACAGTTTTATAGATGTTTGCTGGGCATTGTTCACTCGCCTTTCTTAGTTCAAAAAAACCACTAATCTGCTCCAAAACCAAACTTAAAACCAAAGTAGTGAGTAGGATGTGTAGCAGTCTATACAAATATCATAATACACAAATTGCCAAGCAGAATGAAGTGCAAATGGCACAAATGAGGCTGTGTTAAGTCAGTTTTGTGCCTGATCTAATGCATATCTCAATTTTTTCAACTAGAAAAGTCCAAATGGTCGATTAGAATATAAGAAAATAATGTAGCATTATTGAGATTTTTTTCATTTTTCCAAATGTTAGAACTACATAACAAATGATATACAATACTATATACATATATAAATAGTATCTATAATCTATAAATAATATCTAAAATGCTCATCAATTGCTGATTTGACAAAAAACCAATGAACACTTGCTAATTGCTTCTAGGTTTGTCTCTGACCAATCGGCTTGCCATGTGAAGTTTTCTGGCTTTTCTTTGTTTATAACACCTAAATAAGGGTTATTTCTCCATCAGAAGTCATCTTGAAAATTATTTCACTTTGGAATTTTCGAGATATTTCATTCATGTCACATTGTGTTATCTCATCATAAAAGATTTAAAATGCTTGCTTTTGGCTGAATAAGTCCAAAGTAAATTTTCATATTATAGTTCTAAAAAAAATGGTTTGTGTTATCTGATATCATATAAAGATAAAAATCATCTGAATTATTTTTAAATTTCAGACCACTTTCCAAAGTGTTTTTCACTAAAAATTTGTATGTAAACTATTAAACAACAATTTTTATATTTTTAATCTCATTCAGTTGTTGATATGAGCATTACAAATTTCTAAAATAATTCAATTTAGCACCAGAAACTTTAACTTAAACAACTGTCTTGGTTTTTAAAATATTTTGAAATGTAAAAATTTTAAGTACTGTACATTTAATTGTATTCATGAATGTAATTACTGTTATTTTACTAAAATATCCATAGAATGAATTGTTTATAGTTCTAGTTTGCACTAACATTTATATTATTAATTACTAAATGACCATTGCTCACTGAAAAATGATTAGATTGATAACATCTATATATAAAATTAATCTATGCAAAAATTTTAATGCAGTAACATCTTGTTGCATGTACTAGTTTCAGATAAAAGTACTTGTCAACATTAATATCTATATAATTTTTTTGGATTTAAGAGCTATAAATTTAAATAAATTTCATTCATGTAATAACAATTAAAAATAGTTTAGCTTATTTTTATGTGTATAAAGTTAATTTTGAGAATTTATTTTAAGACAATTTGATTAAAAGTTCTCTAATTGTTCAATTTGTGTTTTTATTGATTTTTCCATACTTTTAACAAAATATTTAAATTAGAAAAATATTGGTATAATTTATTTTGGTTATTTAAATCTATATGATTATAAATAATTATATTAATATTTTTAGTGAGTTTTTTTTAAGTTATTTACACCAGAAATACTTTGTAGTTCTGATTTATCTGAGGTAGTGTGGTTCATGTGCACAAAAGCAATTTTAGTTATCAAAGATATTATGTGGATTATGTGGTACAAAGTGATCGACAAAATACATGAATAATAATATAAAATGAAAGTTTTATGATAACTGTAATTAAAATTTCTTTAATCTTTCTAAAAATTCATATTCTAGATTTAAAATTTCTACATTCTGTTTTGAATACTGTGTATTACCATCAAGATTTGTTTCTATTGATAAAATACTCCATAATTTACCTCAGATAATGCAGAATCTTGGTTGTTTAACGAGTTTCGGTTAATTGAGACTCCACTCTACCATGAATTCAAAGTTACTGTTTTGAAGAATATAGTATAATTAATTAATTCTAATTTTTAAATTTTTCATTGATTTTTTTTTTTGTTTTTTGTAATCTTACAGGTGGNTATATTAAAATTATATTAGCTTTTTTTCTGTTCTTAAGTATTTTCTTTGAATTAACTCATTATAATATAAAGTTATAAACTATATTTTCATTTAAAGAAGCAATCTGAGAAATCAAATACATCTGTATATTCTCAAGAAGCTTCTTGATTGTTTCTTGCATAACTCCTGTTAATTAACTGATATCTTAGGGCTATTTTATTTTGTGGATTATGGTTGCTTTGGGAATTTTAAATTTGTTTATTGAAGATTTTGATTCATTTTTGTATAGAAAATTGGCCTTTCTATAATAGTTTTATTTTCAATAAAGTAGTTAAGTCAATGACATTTTTCTAAATGTGAAACTCTATGAAGCATAGTTTGCTTTATTACACTATAATATATATATCTATTAATGCTATACAACTTCACAGAAGTCAAACTATTAATTACTTTAAAAAAATAAATCATATTTTCAGTTTAACTACGGTATCTTGCATAATGAATGAATTACCAATTTCCATACTTGTTATCCTCTAAGAGTAATTTTTTATTTGTGGATTTTGTCAGATTAAAAATTCATAACAAATTGACAGCCTTAAAATAAAAAATGTTATTATTTTAAAACTATTCTGTTTTATTGTATTGTCAATAAAACTGACTTTTCATTAAGAGTTTTGGTAAGAAAGACGACTATATTTCTATTTCGTAGAGAAAACTTTTAATTAATGATTAAAATGGATTTTAGACTCACCTCACATCAAAGAAATTCATTAAAATTTGAGGTGATTCTGTGATTGCATAAGTAATCCTCAATATAACAATTTTTAAACTGATTTTATGCAGATATAGGAATTTTTTAAATATTTAACATAATGAAGAAATAAATTCTATATATATATAAATATTGTTCAGCTAGGTTTTTAATGAAAATAATAATGTGCAGTATGATATAGTAAAAAAACAGAATGCAGATAATCTGGAAAGAATCACTTGCTATGATCTTTTGATATTTAGTAGTTTATTTTATAATTTTTTCCTTAATGTTCTGTGAAAAGACAGTGTATTATTTAGTTTGTTTATTGATATTTGATGATTTTTGAGTAATCATTGATGGTTGCTATAAATTGTGATTTATATTTTAAGGGGACATTAAAGCCAAATGATTGTTGGATTATATTGGGCTATATGACTGCTACAATTAGCAAGAGATGGCACCTAACATCTACCTCTAGTGCCAAATTACTTGGCATTTAATTATTAACAGTAATAGTAATATAGCCCTATATAATCTGGTTATTGTTTGGTTTTAATATATAACTATTAGGTTTTAGATGTTGATATTTCTAAGGGACATTATTTTAAAATCATAAGATAGTGCGCCCTGTTCTAAATTTTTTATTTTTGTAATTGTATCATGTAATATAACAATTGCATCTAACATTACAAAGTCCATAAAACAGGTTTAATTACATAGTTCATGTCTTTACTGATATTTTTGAACAACTGTAAAAAGTTTAGGAAGGAATTGTTAGTGTCAAGCAAATGTTTTTCACATATATAATTAGACTTTTATATTAAAAGATTTTTTATTAGGCTATTGTATATGAATACTTTTGAATAATGGTAAAAATAATATAAATTCTCAACTTCATTCAGAACATAGTTTTATGAAAATTCAGTTCAAATAACAAAAGAACAGCCGGATTTATTTATTGGGCTGGTTGTATTTACAGAAAATTAAGCTTTTAATCAAGTGAAATTGCTAAGTATTAATGTTCTCAAGCACCTTTAGGTTATAAATTATTCTAAAAATTTTAATTTTTGGAATGATTTATTCCTCACGAGTGTCTTTTGAGACTCGGGCTGTTGTGTTGTAAAGGTATATTCTAGTAAAACAATTTTGTTATTTACACTGTCTTATTCAAATCTATAACAACTTCTATCTGTGAAATTTGAATATTAATTTATATTATTATTGTTAGATAAAATGTTTTGAATTAGAACAAATTAAAACCTAAATATTTGCTAATATATATGCAAATTAACATGTCTAAATGTTAATGTACAGCACTGTTGATTACCATAAATTTGAAATATTAAAAAAGCGACATCTAAGTGTATTAAAATAATTTAAAATATCATTTCAATTTAAACTTTAAATGTCTTTGAATTTAATGAAAGTTGATGTTAAAAAATATTAAAAGAAATGAGTAGCTGTCAAATAACTAATTAGAAACAAATTAATGTCAACTTAAATAAAGAATTTAATTAAAAATATATATCAGAAATAGTTATTAAATTGTATCAAATCAATAATAATAATTCAATAAAGTAACTTATTGTCAGATGAAATTTAAGCTTGGTTCTCTGTGTTTAAAACTCATCTTGTGGTTTTCATTTTCCTTTTTTTTATAATGCTTTTCTTAAAGATTACCTTAAAACTATCTGCATAAATATGAAGAGGAGAATGCTTAAAAATATTGAATTAATAACAAAAATAGTTAAATGTTTTTGTAAATATATCTTGTAAGACAATACATAATCTTCATAAGATACATAACAGTTTATCTTGCTCTAGTTTAAGTGTATTGGGAAATTATTCTCAACTAACGTTTGGTTTCTTGTTACTAGCATTGTTTTGATACATCTGTTACTAGCTAAAATAATTAGCCATGCATCATTTACATGCACTAATTTAGCATGTAGTGAGTACAATATTTGAAAAACTTTTGCTTTTTTGCAATTAATTTTGTAATTAAAGGGGAGAATATTTGTGTAATAATAAATGGTGAAGAAATTAAGCTGTATTAAACATTTTTACTGAACAGGATTATGAAGTTTTATATTTGAGTACGAAAATCCTATAACAAGTGGAAGAATGTCATGAGCACATGTAAAATGTTGATCATTAAATTATCAGCTCTGACTGTTACTAATATGTATTCCACCACAAGATTTTTATATACTTTTAGGATATCATTACTTATTGAAAGTCTTAGTTATTTTGAAATTCTCATTTTTTTTTGGCTTCTGTCAGAAGCAAATTGGTCAAAAACATAATCTGTATCTTGGTAGTGTACCCAGAGGGGGACAAAGAGCCTTAGCACCCCAAGGAAAATAAACACTAGAAAATTTTATAAAAATCTTTACAAATAAAAACAGGTTTTAATTAGGAATTGTATTACATCTTCCGTTCCTATAATACTTATGAATCAGTGGTCATAAGGTGAGAATTTTATTCACGTTAAAAGATTTTTTTATCCACTTAACTCTGCTTTCTCAAGATCAAATCCCAAGTGAGCCACTACCGTGTCTACTCAGCATTTTCTCTTGAACTTAACTTAAAATGGATCATAATTT